ATAACAAACCCCAGGTTAAATAGATGGAAATTGATGTACCATACTGTGATTCAAACCCAGGCAGAGATCATCTTAACCACTGTGGTAAGCTAACAAGTTATATACCAAGTTAAAAAAAAAAAAGAAAGAAGACAAATTGACTTAAGGTGGTGATAATAGTGGACTGTTGTAAGCATAGCTGTGGCAGCACTGTTATCTATAAACTGTGATGCTTTGTGCTTGTGTAGGGATTTTTCTTATAAGCAAGACCTCCTTTCATCCCTTAAGTAGTAACCTTTTTTTTTTGAGTTGGAGTCTCACTCTGTCGCCCAGACTGGAGTGCAGTGGCTGCTCCCTGCCACTGCAGCCTCGCCTGCTGGGCTCCGGCAATCCTTCCGCCTCAGCCTTCCGAGGAGCCGGAATTACAGAGGAGCCAGAATTACAGGCATGCGCTACCACGCCCGGCTGATTTTTGATTTAGTGTAGAGATGAGGTCTCGCTGCCCAGGCGGGTCTTGAACCCACGGGCTCAGGCAATCCACTCACCTCAGCCTCCCAAAAGCGCGGGATTACAGGCTGAGCCACTGAGACGGCTTGTAATAACCTTTCTTAATTGGGCTTGCCATGGCCTTCCTTGGCCTTCCCTGTGGAAATTCTTCCCTTTTCCCCTCTCCCCTCTCCTGCTGACCTGTTCTCAGTGATGTGCTGGTTAAAAAGAAGAAAACACAAAGCTCTGATTTGTAACACTTACTGATGTCAGCAGTGTAAATACCCTCATGATGGTTGATTTCCAGCTACCAGTGCCACATTACTGAACATAGAGTTGGCAAGAGATATATTTTGGGAAGACATCTGCATTACACATCATCATATAGAATTTTCACTATATAGATATACTAGGTGTAAACCTCATGAACATAGATAATAGAAAGATGTAAGAAATTTTAAAAATGTTGTTTTGAGTATTTATTTCATTTGTTTTTAATACAGTTACTTAATCATAAGCTTATATTATTTAATTTTTAATAATGACTGTGTTTAACAACTGGCTTGCAGAATTCCTAAAAATTTAACAGTCAGCACTCATAAAGCACACACAAACCAGATCCAATATCCCACGCAGTCACTTTGCTGCTGATTGGGGCTACCTTCAGAAATCTTATGGCTGACTCTTACTAACACATTAGTGTTATTCCTTCTTTAACTCTTCCTTCTATAAAACTTACCTAATCCCCATCTAGCATCTTTTCTGTCCAAGGCCCCATCCCTTCCATTTATCCCCACACTGTAATTCACCTCTTCCCATCCCTCAAATACATTTCTTTCCCCTCTATTTTTTTCCTTCACCACATTCCCAGTCAAAGGAAAGCCTCAGACTTTCTTGGAGCATGGAGAGTCTCCCAGCAAGATGTTGGGTCTCATGTGGAGAGGAACTCTGATCTAGAAAAGGAAGGTAGATTCATAGAATTCCAGGTTAGAAATCTAAATGAGACAATGTTTTATATTTAATAATTGTATAATTACAGTGCTATTTTACAGTATTTATTATATCTACTGTATAAATGAGTTCAAGATGGAGAAATCTGAGACCATGGCTACCACTTATGATTTTATTTTTAATAACCCTTTTATGAATACCCGTCTTTATTGGCAAATAAGTGACTGGTGACATTTTGATCACACTGCATTTATATTTATATTTTGGGGAACCCCCTGTATTTACAAAGTGGGGCAGTAGTACAGACTGTTTTTTTCCCCATTAGTTCTTATATCAACTGTCAGCAAAACTAATTAGGATTTTGGAAAAAATGTCAGGGTTCTTACTAATGAAGAAACGTGTAAAGTATCTTTGTAAGGATAATATGCTGTCCTTGAGTTCAGATTGTTGAATAAGTGGTCATGTTGATGTGCACTCTTCCTGGGGTTGTGTCATACTAAAATTATAATTGAGAATGTCTTGAAAATTGTCCTTGTTAATAAGTTCGTCTGCTGTAGTTAGAAACATGGCAGACTTGTTCACTTTGTAGCCAGACTGATTTATCTGTTTATTCTTTGGGGTTGGTCCTTTCCATGAACAGCAGGGTCATTTACCAGGGTATCTTTCAAGGATGGCTAGGGTTAAAACAACCACCTCAATAAAAATTATTACCTAGATCTGTTTTTCATTTTTATTTTTTCATTACCATTCTACTTGCTTAATCTTTCAAGGGCATCTCAGGTAATAGTGGGTGCTTGGCACTACTGAAATAAAATGAAAGTCATGTGGCTGAATGAAGAGTTTGCTATTTGCTTCAGTGACTTTATCAGTGTGCAGAGAATACTCCTTCAAGGAAAGCAGGTACTTAATTCCAAGTGCCTTTGGAGTCTAAATTTCAAGTGGCTATGACATCAGTGAGGCTTCTGTGTTCTTTTCTGTTGACTATTTTGTGTATTAAGTAGTGTGACTTAATATTTTAAAAAAACTATTAAAGGTATGTGGGCCATAACATCTTTGTTGGAATCACTCAACTGCTGTGACCCATTGTAGTGAAAAGTAGCCATAGATGATGTGTAAACAAAACAAAACAAAAAAAGTGGCTGGCTTCTAATAAAACTTATCTGTGGGTATTTATTTGAATTTCATATAATTTTCACATTAAAAGATGTTCTTTTGATTTTTTTTTTTTCTGACCATTTAAAGATGTAAAAGATCCTTTTCAACTTGAGAACCACACAGAAACAAGCAGTGGGGAGACTGGATTTGGTCTGTGGGTCACAGTGTGCCAATGTGCTATAACTGAACTTTCATTTGCACCTTTTTTTCAGGTTATAATGGTATTTCACTACCTTGAAAACTAACTCTTTTCATATGTGCTGCAGACATCTTAACTGTTGCATCATGCCAAAGGATATTAAACTTTTTACCAGTCTAAGCTTTTCAAAAATGTTTCCATCTTATACGCAAGATGTATGTGTAATTCTGAGTAGTAACCGAAGCCAGTGATAATTCTGTTTTACCAGCTGTGATATCAGAGGGTCTTATACACAAGATGAAAGTATTATTCTGAGTAGTAACTGAAGTCAGTGATAATTCTGTTTTACCAGCTGTGATATTCCTTGTGCTAGTGTGTTTTGGAACTCTCCACTTCAGTAGTAATATTAATAACTAACTTTGGACAAAGTAAATTACAGCTTGTTTGGGGATTATAGTTTGTTCTGACTTCTTATATATTGTGTTCAACAGATTTGTATAGGGTGTATAGGGTGCTGAACAAGGCACTGGATGTAACGTGAGAGATAGGCTCAGGGCTTGGGAAATACTTTGAACTCTGTTTCCAGAATCAACCTACTGCCACATTTCTGTTAACAGGCTTGGTTCATGATTTTTTTGCCTTTCAATGTTTAGTAAAAAAACTACCTTCTTAGTTATGCTTTTGGGCTTAATAAGTTGTGGCCACAGGGTGGCATGGTACTCTCATGGTCTGTAATTATTGCTAAAATGGAAAGAGAAAAAAAATACTATCAAGTAATGAGAATTCAGTCCCCTAATTATAATGCTAAAATGGTCCGGCTTTCTCTAAATTGATTTTTTTATGGTGCATTATTAAGATTCACATAGTATTAAATCTCAGTGCTTTAAATGTTGATGCTTTAAAATCTTTTGTTATGGTTACAACAAGAATTATATAATGTTTATAATTGGGAGAATGGTAATTAGAAATGTATTTCATAGAATGTATTAAATTTAGCTACTGAATTAGATTTTTAAAAAAATAACATATAAAAACTGCTAGAAATATATTTGCAATTAAAGGACAAAGATGTCTTACCTTCCAAATAGTTGCAAAGTCATGGACAAAGTTATTGGCATAGAAATTTTGTCTGATTCCAAGGACAATGTAGGGATGGATAAAGAAGAGCAAGGATGCCAGATGGCTAGGAAACACAAATTTTTAGAAAATCAACCTTCCATTGTAACAGATTAAGAACATTAGGATACACCAAAAACTGAACATACTCTGAGAATTTTCATATACATTCATGCATCACTTAGCCATGAGAACATGCTCTGAGAAATGTGTTGTTAGATGATTTTGTCTGTTGTGCGCACATCATAGAGTGTACTTACACAAACCTAGTGGTATAGACTACTAGGCTATATGGTATAAGCTATTGCTCCTAGGCTGCAAACTTGTCTGGCACATTACTATACTTGATACTGTAGGCAGTTGTAACACAGAGGTAAGTATTTTGAGTATCTAAACATTGAAAAGGTACAGTTAAAAAAAAAAAAGGCAATATAATCTTATAGGACCACTTGTCCCATATGTGGTTTGGTTTGTTGTTGAGTGAAACATTGTTATGCGTCCCATGACTGTATTAGCTATTAGGAGATAAAGTTTCACCTTCATTTATATAGTGAAGAAAGCAGGTTTAGTGGATCTAAGTTAAAATCTTTGCAAGTGAGATTTAAACCTGATTTGCCTGGAGCCTAGGTTCATGCTGTTTGTCAATTCCAGGCAAGCCTATTAGAGTGTCTCTACCTTTGCTAGAAAATGGATGAACTTGGTAGTGATTTATAGGATGTAGAATTTAGAGGATTATTGCTATCAGCTGGAACACAGGAGTTAAGGAGAATTTTGGGTCTGAGGATCTTGACTATTTATTATACCACTCCATCCTCTCTGCCTTATATCTGAATTTTCTTGAATTTCTCCCTCCCTCCTCCTCTCACTCTTTTTTTTCTTTTACCCATTCATTGAGTAAACACACACACTGTTTTTTTAATTGTCTAGTCTTCTTCACTAAAATCTAAGTTTAAGGAAGACGGATCTTATTTTCAGGCTCATTCTATATTCTCAATGCCTAGAATACTGACTTGACACATAAATGCACAGTCAGTGTTTACACTTGTTTAAACCTATAATGGGAGCACGGTTTAGATTATATATTTGATTTTTCCTTAAATATGATGTTTTATAAAGATAGGCTCTCAAGAGGAACCCTACCAATGCAAACTTTCTGTATTGTTTTATTTCCTAGGGCGATTGTGTTGTTACAATATTGCTTGCTGAAGAGGACAAAGTTGAAGATGATGTAGTTTTTTACTTGGTATTTTCGGGTTCTACCCTCCATCACTGTACAAGTACTCGGAAAGTCAGTTCTGATACATTGGAGACCATTGCTCCTGGTAAGTATTTGAATACAATCTTTATTAGCCTTTGATCATTCTTGAACACTTATTCTATGTTCATTAGTATAGGGTGATAGGAAGTATGGAGTGATAGGAAGAGTGAATCAGGGTGATATAATTATTTTCAGATCTTTATTTTAAATATGTAGGTACTGTATTTTGTTTATATCTTGCATATTCTTAAAAAAACTGAACGTAACTAGTCAATAAGTGAATAAGATTATGTCATAAATTGAAAGATAAAAATCAGCATCAGCAAAAATATTAATTTATTAGAATATTGAGATTTGGAGGAAACACGTGGAAGAGAGTTCTCACATGGTTACAAATGTGGGACTGCAGATTTGATTCTGAATTATATGGTGGCAAAACAAGAAGGTAAAATACAATTAGTAATACATTCCTTAGTACCTGTGATAGAGAAGCTTGCAAAATTTTTTATAAAGCCAGATTTCCCAAAATTAACAAATTATAGTTCATGATGGCATGAATGCTTAATCACAATTGCATTTGTAAGCTCAACAGAATTAAAAGGAAAATGCTTACATATTAGACATTCTTACAAAATTATTAAGTCATTGCTACTTCCACCAGAAACCTCTGGTAAAGTAATGATCATTTCCTGGCCTGTCTCATCATCTGAGGGTATATTGAGCTTCCTTACACTGTTGGTGGGAGTGTAAACTAATACAATCTCTGTGGAACAGTATGGCAATTCCAAAATATCTAAAAATCGACCTTCCATATGACCCAGCAATCCCCCTTCTGGGAATATACCCAGAGGAACTCAATCATTCTATAAAAAAAGATACCTGGACACACATTCTTATTGCAGCATTATTCACAATAGCAAAAACATGGAACCAAATGTGCTGCCCATCAAAAGTGGACTGGATAAAAAAATGCAGTACATATACATGATAGAATATTACACAGTCATAAAGAAGGGCAAAATTATGGTCTTCGCATCAGCTTGGATGAATTTTTAGTCTATCATACTCAGTGATCTACCACAGAAACAAAGAACTGAGCATCACATGTTCTCACTCATAAGGAGACCCTGAACATTTATGATAATACTATAAGAAAGGGTTTGGCGACAGCAGGGCACTGCCAGGGGAGGTGGGGGAGCACATAACATCAATAAGGGTACCTGATCTCAAATCAGACAAAGTGAGGATGAAAGGGAGGCCCAGACTTTACCTGTACAATGACCATTTATGTACCTAATCCTGAATTGTACCCCACATCTTTAAAATAAAAAAGAAGAAAATGAACTTCTTTCCTTAACTGATTTTGCTTCAAAGGTAATAAATGACCAATTTTTATCAAAATTCAAAAGAGGGCACATTTAAAGGGAACCCTTAAAAACGTTGGTAGTTTAACTATTTTCCTTTATAGAATAAGGTGGATATAGTTCCTATTAAAACATTTTTTTAAACCAGCATTTTTATATAACACTGATTCCACTTTGTTGGTATAGGCAGTGTAATATGAATCAATTTGAATATCTAATCTTGCTGATATTGGATTTTTTTTGTTGCTTTGCCATTTTATATATTAACTTTATATCTGGTACCTTCCAAATTCTGTAAATTATACCACACTTAAGAACTGGTATCGTGGCAAGTAAAAGCTATATTTATCTTCTTTCTTTGCAAAAGTGATTTTGAAAATAATAGAATCCAAAGATTTCTGGCAGTCTTTAGGAATACTCCAAATTTTTAGGAGCGGGAAATGTAAGAAGGTAGTCAGGATAGATACTGATTTCTTTTCTAAAGAGTATTACATATCTTTCTTTGTAACATTAAAGCTCCAGTCGTCTTGTCTCCTTGATGTATATCATATGCCAGCAAAGTCCAGTCTCGTGATGGAGAAGGATGAGCCTGAAAGATCTTATGCCTTCACTGGCAAGGCCCTTAAATTGGGATGGTGGCATGCAATTACTCTTCCTGGAGTCACAAACTCACTGAACTTGAATGACATCCTGTAGCTCTAAGTTTGTGTCTGATCCGAATATGTTATCCTTGGCCTATCTTTCTGACCACTTTCCATTTTTTCCCTTGCCTTTGGTTCTAATACCTTTTTATATATTTCTGTCTTCTTTTTTTCCCTATCTGCATCCTTCTCTGGGTGTTCATTTGTGCTTATTGACTAAGTACCCTTGCCTTGCCTACCCATGCCAACTGGAAATGGGTATTTTACTCAGATACTTTCCTCCAATTTGGTTCGAATCCTCAGAATTAATTCCTGACCCATGTTCTTGGGGCCTAGGGTCCTAGCTAGTACTTGACTTCTCCTTTATTTTTTTACTAATCATTTCTCCTTCCACCTTCCATATTTTCTGTCACACTTGCAGGGTCTGATAACTTTTCCCTACCCCATTGGCCTGGACATTTTTCTATCCACCCAAATTCAGTCAGACAGCTGACTGTATAGGACGTGCCTAATCACAGCAGAGATGACAAAGAATTTGACCCCTTAATAGACCTTGTACCTGTGGGAGGCCAAAGTAAGGCAGCACTTTAACATGTGAGCCTTTGATATGTATGCAAGGGGGAACAGTGAGGTACCTACTTTGTGTATTAGAAGCTCCGTTAGTAATGAAGCAAAGGAGATTCCTGACTGGACCCGAATGCTCTAGTCATGGTGTATAAGGTTTTTCTGTTTACTTATCTTTTTCAGCTGTTGTCATTTGGATTCATTTGACAATTTGTTGTGGATGAGTAAAGATAGGGGTGTTTAGGGGTTAACTTAGTTTTGAATTTCTTGGTGATATCATGGGGTTCATTTTTTTAAGCCTAGAGTTAAGCTGCTTTAAACCTACTTTTGTTGACTTCATTGACTTGTGCCTTCTCTACTTTTAGGTCCTTACTCAGATAGTACCTTCCTTCTCAAGTGAGGTCTTTGCTGTTCAACTTAAAAAAATAAAGAACTGTCTCCTCTCAGCAGTCCTTCTTCCCTGCTGTATTTTTCTCCATTGTGCTTTTCAATATCTAACATATTATATGTTTTACTTACTTATATTTATTTTTTGCCTACCCCAACTAAAGTGTCAGCTTCATGACAGCAAGGTTTTTTGTTTGTTTTGTTCACTGGTGTATGCTAAGAAGGGTTGTTCTAGGAATCCCTGTCACTTGGTAGAACATTTGTACTGTGTCAGAATTCTTCCTGGTTCTCAGAAACTGCTCTTCAAAAAAGATGTGTGAACATGCATATATAGACACCCACACATAGCCCCCTTTTTATGAGAAAGGCAAAGGAGTCTCTGGCTTTTTTAGTTGAATTCTTAGCTTGGAGCAAGAGTCTATGTCCTTTTTCCAGAGCTACCTTTGATGATTTCTGTGCGTCACTTAGCCCTATTGATAGCCTCATATTTCCTGTCTGCTCAGGGCAGTGTCATGGAAAGTCTGTACAATGCACTGTGCATCCCAGTTACTGAATAAATGTGTATAGTCTTGCTGCAGCAGCTGCTGCTGATAGGGATGTCTGCCCTCTTTCTGCTTACGTGTGGAACTAACTCTGCAGTCCCAAGTCATTTTGGCTGACTAAGAGAAGAAAAACATCTTTGTGCCTTGTTCTTGCTTTTAATATCATGCTTCGTCCAGATTGCTGGCTGTGATTTTTCTTTGAGTTCTCTGTATGTTTCACTGTCAGTATTTTGTAACATTTAAAAAAAAATAAAACCAGATGATTGATTGACCTTCAAAAGGTAGCTACTTCTTGATATTTGCCTATAACCTTTTACCAAATAAATATTTTCCTCAAGTAGGGTGAAAAAGGAGATATTTTAAAATTGTCTCCTAAAAAATCCAAAACCTTGACTTCAGTTATTTTGAAATTACAGTCCCATCTCCCCTTTTTCTATTTTCTCACTTTTTTGAGCATGTTTTCTAATAAAAGTCTTTCATTGAAGTTTGTGTGTGTCTGTATAATTATAAAGAAGGTATAACAACTTTTAAAGGTGGTTTTGTTTACTTTCTCACCATTAAAGGCTCTAGCTATGACATGCTTCCCCTTTTATAAATAAAGAAAGTATGTTAAGATTAAGTAGTAAGCTGGGCACGGTGGCTCTTGCCTGTGGTCCTAGCACTTTGGGAGGCAGAGGTGAGAGGATTACTTGAGCCCAGGGGTTCAAGACCAGCCAGGACAACATGGTGAGACCTCTTCTATACAATAAATCAAAAAATTATCTGGGTGTGGTGGTGTGTGCCTGTAGTTCCAGCTACTTAGAAGGCTGAGGCAGAAGGATCACATTAGCCCAGCAGGTTTAAACTGCAGTGGTTGCGAGCAGTGTGCCACTGCACTCCAGCCTGGGTGACAGAGTGACTTCAACTCAAAAAAAAAAAAAGACTAAGTAGTAACATGTTAGGGGACAGGTAGCTGGAGACTTTGACTTTCTATTTTCTCTCCCTTTGAGTTTGAATGCTTTACAGTGAACATGTTACTTATATAATATATAGTAATTTTTAATTTAATAAAAACATTTTGAACAGTAAAAATATTATTTTTAAAATAAATCCATCTTTGTGCTAATTAACATAGAGACAGAACAACATGCTTTGTAATAAAATATTACATACAAAATACCTATGAAGTGGCTAGTTCAATAATATAATCTGCTTTGAAATATATAGACTGAAATGGAATTATATCTCTAATAATGAAAGGTATTGCCTTTTAATAAATGAAAATAAGTATCACATTATCATCTCTTCATAGAAAACAAATTCAGCCTTAAATCACATTTTTATTAGCTGGTGGTTTTCCTCTTGAGATGAAACTTTTTTTTTTTTTAAAGATCTTTGTAGGATTGGTAAATAGAAATATGAGCATCCTTGAAGATGATTCTTGGGGTAGGAGTATAGAGTACTCTTTTATTGTGTTCCCTTTTATTAATGAAACTGAATTTAGACCAAGCAATGATTTTAGAATGAAAGAAGGAACAGGATGTTTAGTGGTTTCTGCACACTATTTTTTTGAAAGGCTTTGGTGCA